TTCTCCTTCTCAAACCTGTGAGCCTCCCGGTCCATCTATCCACTTGCAGATGGTTGTTCTTACTGTAACTGCAGGTTGTGTACACAGACACAGCACCGACCTCTCCACCTCGTGCCTTCCTTTGCCTCGGTCACTGTTGCCTGACCTCCCCTTTACTGTAGATTGCCTTCGCATGGGTCTACACGCTCGTCCGTGATTTAGCCTCCCCTGCCCTTTGTGTGAAAACCTTCCCTTAGTTTTTTTTTTAATTGTTGTGGTCTCTTATAGTCTCTGTGCTTTGGGGATGGACTCATTTCACTCAGCATCATGGCCTCCAGGTCCATCGTATCAGGAGGGCTTTCACAGATGCATTGTTTTTTGTAATGGTCGACCATTTTATTATCTTTTCCCCAAAACCATTTAATTGGCAGCTGATACAGATGCCATATTGTTTCAGAGTTCGATCACATCTCAAGCAGGATTGCGCAATGGCTACCACATCACTTTGAAAACATGGTCTTCCTCCTTGGCATAAGCTCCCTCTCCCACTGCACCCCCCAGGACTCCTTATTCTACTTGCTGCCTCTGTAGGTTCAACAATCCTGGGTTTCATATACTGAAAAGCAGAAAAACGTGATAAAAATTCAAGAGGGTGACCCCCAATATGAAAAATAAAAAAACCACAGAACATGTTGCAAGCCAGATCAGGCCCAGCATGCATCAGAGATGGGACCAACCGACATGGTTTTAACCTGGATCTTCTCTAATCATCTCTCCAACACACTGGTTTGGGAACCAGTTTCCTCCCATCCCTCTGTTACGGATAGAGGGAAATCACCGGGGGCTAATTTCCTATGTCGGTCCCACTGTCACCCCTACACGGCACGCGGAGCACGCCGGTCTTTATTTGTACCGTAGACTGTGCAGCCATCCCGTTGTTGACGGGCAGTTACTTTGTTTCCATCTTGTTCTTACTGAGGATGTGGCTGCTCTGAACGATGTGTGCGTATATCTGGGGGTGCCGCGGCTATTTCTTGAATACATACCTGGTCGTGGGATTGCAGGATCATCTGCTGTTTCGATTTCCAAATTTTAAAAGAAGCACCAGATTGTTTCCCACTGTGGTTGTGCTATTTTATAATCCCACCAGCAGTGTACAAGAGTTCCAACCTCTCTGTACCCTTGCCGGAAGGTGTTGTTTTCTGGTTTTGTGTTGTGTGTGTGTGTGTTTAGCTTTGCTATCAGTCTGTGGTGAGGCGTTATCTCCTTGTTGTTCTGATTTGCAGCAATGATGTATTTTATCATTTTTACTTTCCCTACCCACTGAAGTATCGGCCTCTGTTGTGCGGCCCCAGAGAGTGAAGCTGGAAAGCCTAGACATCTTGCTCCAAGAGGACATGCCCAGGACTCAAACCCAGGGCTCCTGAATCCCCAAGATCCCGTTCCCCAGATTCCTCTCCTCCGCTTAGGCCAGTGAGCCGCTCACAGTTACAACTCCAGAAGAGCCCTGCCTTGACTGACCCTTGGGTTCCCCTTGAGCGAGTCCTTCCGACAGCAGGTCTCTGTTGAGTGATGCCGCTAGCCCCCGGGACCCCGCCATGGGACAGCTGCCAAGGAGGAGGTCAGCCCCTGAGGGTAGGGAGAAATACTGCTTCATGGCCGTGCAGCGAGGGCCGCGGGTGGAGAGCTTCAGCATGGGCAGGGGTACAGTCGAGAGGAGCAGAAGGGAAGTTGCCGGCGTGTAAGCTTAGCCGTGGAGGTGATAGGGACAGGAGCCAGAGAATTGCCACAGGGACAGGAGTGCGGTGGGAGCCAAGCCGAGAGCCCAACTGCCAGCTTTGGCTCCACCACCGAGAGCCCCGCCAGAGCCTGGTGAGAATATGGAAGGAACAAGTCTGCAGCCTTCCTGAGATGGGGAACCAGAGCTGAAATAAGGAAGAAAGGGAGGGAGGGAGTTGGAGGAGAGGCAGATGACTTAGAGTGTTCCAGACGAGGGAAAGAAGTCAAAACCGTTGCACTGGAAACAGTAAACCCAGCAATAACAGCATCTTGCCTGAGACGCCATGCTGATCCGCAAGGAAAATGATTTCTAAAAGGTCCAGATTAGATGTATCCATGTCGGGAGGGTTTTACATAGATTTCTCTATGTAAAACCTTTTTGACATGGATACGTCCTACAAACATTTAGGGTGGAAAGTGGAGGTATCACACACACACACACACACACACACACACACACACACACCATCCGGTCTATCCCATGCTTGCCTCAGTTGGTTTTCGAACACACCAAACAGCAGCCATGGGAGAAGACGATTCAGTCATGCTTGGAAAAAGTTGACTCTAAGCACCCCATGTGTGTTTCAGGTACAAAGACAAGAGGAAGCTCTTTTCTGGTGGGTTAATGCGGTCAAATACCCATCATGTGTTCTCAGGAGATTCCTCTGGGACCTAGCCCTGCCAATGTGGAACGCAATCAAATTTTTTATCTCGCTAAACAACTTGCAGGTCACCCTGGGGGGGTGGGGGTGGGGCTAGAGGCATTCTTTTGCCCTCCTCTTCCCCGGGAGGGGGTGCTGTCACGTCCGTTCCCTTGAGGTTCACAGCCGCTCCTCCCACCTCCTGGCCTCAAAGAGCACCCCGTGCGTTTGTTCAAGCCCTGGACCATGAAGCTGCCTGATCTCCAACCAGCGAAGTCATCCCACTCCCCTTGTCAGTGATGGAGGGGTGAACGGATGACCGAAGTCTGACCAATGAGAAACTGACGACCTTGGGGTGGTGGGGGGGGGTGGAGGTGGTGGTGGTGGTGGTGGTGGTGGTGGTGGTGGTGGTGGTGGTGGTCGTCGTGGTGGTGGTGGTGGTCGTCGTGGTGGTGGTGGTGGTGTGTGTGTTTCTCCAGCTGATAAAAAGTGACAGCGCAGGGGCCAGCTGCTTTTTGCAGTCCTGAGCTCTGTGGCTTGAGGGGGGACCTGTTTGAAGCTGCCCATCCGTGGCCATCCTGAAAACAAGAGATAGTAGGCTTAGGGATGAGAAAGCAGCACACAAACGCTACAAGAGGGGGGCAGGAGGAGGCCGGTGTGGATGGCAGCGAGGAACAGGTACCGCCATGCGCAGGCGCCCATTTCCAGACTGCTGCTGAGTGAGATCATTAAGGATGGGGCGTCTTACTTCCTAACCCATTGGATCTTCCCTTGTTTAATGTTATTAGCTGATACATTTTGTTTGCCAGAAGATATCTTAAAATAATAACCGGTCTTTGTCTGTTCCAAGCATCTACTCCATGACAGGAAAGGAAAAAATTTTTTTACTAATGTTTCATATAATGCTGAATCAGGTGAATTATTAAACTATAATTCTCCCCCTTTCACCCTCCGAAAAAAAAAAGGCAGAGCTGAGTGGGAACCTGAATCTGTTCTGCAGAATAAAGTTATGCACAGAGCATAATAATGACCGTCTTCATGGCCAAGAAACTTGAGGAGTGATTTCCAACTGCATGTATCATCTTGAAACGCCTGTTAGACGCCCGAAGCCCTGAGCGGTTTCTAACTGTGAAAGACTAGTGGCAGATATCCATGTGGTTCCCTGTTCCGCTGCGAAGGCCCTGTGTGGATGTGGCGTTAAAAACAGTTTCAGAAAAGCGGATCCGTAGAAATGCCGTGACTCAGACCACGTGGGCCACAGATCCTAACTGCACCACTTAGTAGCTGTGCAACCTGGGACTAGATGCTTAGTTTGCCTGGACCTCAGTTTCCTCATCTGTATAGCTGGGCCCCAAACCAAGCTGATTCGGTCTTATGCGGACCCCATGTGTTTCAGAGCAGAACTTGGCTCCATAGGGTTTGGAAGGTGATGACTTCTGGGAAGTAGACTCCTAGGCCTATCTCCCCTGGGTGGCTTCAAACCCCTAATCTTTTGTAAGCACGTTAACATTTGTGCCACCCAAGAACTCTTGGTTTATACAGTGGGATGATCAGTAGCAGATGATAGGAGCAGACGAAGGAGCAGATAAGCATCCACGTACAGTGAGCGTTGTGTGAACTGCTCTGGGGGTGCAAAGGGAAGGAGGGGCCGCGGGAAGTGGAGTCCCAAAAAAGACAAACCACGAAGATTTTCCCAAGGGAGCTTGGGTGTTAACCTCAACTCGAAAGTTTCCCTTTTCTGGTTGCTTGTTTTTGTTTCACATTTCAAGAACTAACTGTGATTACACAACTTACTGTAAAAGCGGTTCAATCGTGGGGCAGTGTGTGTGTGTGTCTGTGTTGGGGGGGTGTTTGTTCTGAAATTGATTGTGGTAATGATTGTACAATTCTTGATATGATTGAGTGACTGAACTATTGAATTGTATGATATGTGTGACATGCCAATAAAAAATGTGGGCGAAAAAAGAGAAAGAACATACTTATCTTTTGGTGGGTTCTGAACTACTTTGATAAAAATAAAAATAGCAAAGTACCCCAAAACAGTCCACTGATTACCTCGGAGGGATACAATTCCCAATAGTTTGCGTTTCTTGCTCAGACATTTCTGTTGTTTTCAGATTGTCCTCATCATCCGTCACCAGCTTGGAAAGCAAAGGGGACAGCCCTGTCAAAAGATATTCCTCTGCACAGTTTAGACACACGCTTGTATAAACACTATGGCAACAGGTACATGAGAACAACATGCACAGACAGTTTGGGGGGAGTACTGAGTGAGCACAGCGAGGCCAGCCAAAGTGGGCGCCATGTCCTCATGGGGCGCCGAGGGAGGGCCTGGGGATCCCCGCCTAAACCCCACCTGCTGGCGCAGGGTCTGGGTGGCAGCATGAAGCCTCTCCATTGTGGTCCTCTCCCGTCTAGAACCCACTCTCTCGTCCAGCAGAGCCCATGAGGGGGTTCTCTCTCTCCTACTATCCTCTCTCACCACACTTGGAAAGGTAGAGGGGCAAGCAGAGGTGGCGAGTGGCCCTTTGCGCAGCTTGCAGCAGTGGTCAGCTGGCCCTGCGCCATCTCTTCAAGGCGGTTTGTGCTGTCTTTCCACAGAGCCCGGCGGTCCGAGCCCGTGTGCTCCTGCTTGCAGGCCCAGATCCT